AGCAACACAGTTTTGTCTTAGGTTGGTAAGGCCCTGTGCAGAAACTTACCCGTCCTTGGCTTGTCAGTCTGTTAATTTAATAACTCTGTCTGGGAGTTCATTTTCAGGTTCAAGCCTTGTACTTTGGCTGCCAACATGTTGATGCTGTTAAAGACAATCTTTGACATGATGGGCAGGAATAAAGGTATTCTCAGGACAAAAAGAACTAGCATAATCAAGCTATATATGCCATTCTTGAAGCTTGACCAAAATAGATATACTTGCCTTAGGCAATGGATAATTTTATCAGCAGTATCTACTGCATCAATGCTCAGCAAAGCAGCATTCTTTAAATTTATAAGCTCACTATGCAAAGTTAAAACATCCAGAGAGGTGTTAGAATTATGCCAAATACACTGCAAGTATCTTTAAACGTTTTACTAATTATGATGACTACCACTGTAGATATTAGAACTAACAATTGGTTAGCACATGGTATTTATACAGCAGTATATGTTTTTCTCTCACATACAAAGAGTGAGAAAGTTTACATGGAGGCCTACATCCACTTCTCTCGAGTTCCATGGCCATTGGAACATGAACGACAGGTGTCTGTCTCTTACAGCTCGAGCATTTTAGTGCAGTCTCAGAATTAGTGTTCTTCTCCTAAGAACTAATGTTTCTCTGAAAGATGGTTTCACTTAAGCAGAGCACAACAGTAAGATCAAAGTTAGTAAAGAAATCCCCAAATATCACTGCACATTTCTACAGAGTTACCAATTAAGTTTACTTTCTGAAGAGATTGCCTAGATGTTAAGACACAGTGGCTGTTTATGAAAGCGGAGAAGGTGCTTTCTTCAAAAACACATCCATCATGAGAGGATTGCTCTTTTACAAGGGTGTTCTCTTCTGGTCCCTGAAGGTATTGCATGAGCATACAGCCTGCCTACATATAAATAATTAAAACTAAAAATAATTCTTTAAAACATAAAATGGAATAGCACCAGAAATCACATAATGGTCCTTTAGAGTCATCAGTTAGGATTCTTATGCCTCATTTCTTAGAAATCCCATAGAACAAGCAACTTAATTTTGATTGTGTAGCTATAGAGCTACAAACAAGTCCTGATGCATGCCATTCCAAACCCATGCCAATTCATCTATTCTTGGCACACATTTTCATTCTGTAAGTTTCTTCTGAACTCCATCTTCAATTTGAAGGTCCAATATCTAAGCAGTGCCAAACAGTGACCACTCTTCTTTTTTGTTTCATCTGTCTGGCAATTTTCTCATATCCAGGGTTCTGTGTTCACACTCAGTTCTATATTCTTGCTTTATCTAACATAACCGTCATTTCACTTGTAATTTCTATAGGTAGTTGACCAGTGTAATTTGAATCAGAGACATAAAGGATAGTATATAATTATCTGTCTTTCAATGATGCGATAATTAGCATGCTTAAAGCACAGAATTTTACATACACATTTGATAGCTAAAATGAAGAGCTAGGGTAGAGAAAAGACTTCTCGTAATGGGGAGACACACTGGGTGTTGAATGAGATGTTCTTCTACATATGACTGTCACTCAGAATTATGTCCACAGTAAAATGGGATGGGAAAACAGCAATTCAGAATTAATGGTAATTAGATATTAGTAGGCAAGTAATACCAAGGAGAAGAGACATGTTGTATAGCTAGATGGTGGGCATATGAAAGCAGCAGGAAGTAAGGATGCAGTGGCAGGAAGTGAGAGCCAGGGACTGTCAACACAAGGATAACCTGAAAGCAACGACCATCATTTAGAGTAAGTGGGTCTCCAGTGCCCCTGTAGTCAGTGTAGGAAGGTAGACTCTATGTTCTAAAAGAAAGTTTAATATGCAGTGAAGTTTGTGAGCCATGAAAGAAGAGAGAAAGTCAGAGTGAAATAATTTGATAACAATGAAAAGGGAAAGAAGAATGAGAGAATTGAGGGTTAATAGAAGGCATGTGGACAATGAAGAAATAGTGTGGAAACTTTATTGTGGCAGAAAATAAATAATAACTTATGATGTAGGAACCCAGACTCCTAGCACAGAAATTCAGTAAGAGGCTGGGATTGGGCCAGTGACACATGGACCATACAGATCCTTTGAGGTTGTATGCTGGAGGCAGGACCTGGCTATGAATAAGGTAAAGAGTTGGAAAAACCCCACACAGCTCACCCAATGGAGAACCTGCTCAGGTTCTTTCAGTGGATGTACATTACTAATTTATGAATTTATGAATTTATTCTAATGTATTTCTAAAATATCTAAATCTACAAATGTTTGCACCAAGAAACAGATATAAAAGTATAATGTCTGGCCCATTATGATCAGGTGGCTATTTTCTCCCATAGTGGCTTTATGACAAAGGTCTCTACTAATATCTAAAATGTCTTCTTTAGCATTTGGACTATAGTATAGTGTTGATAATTACCACAAACTGCTAGATTTTCACCCACGTTTTTAATTTGTTCATTTGTTTAAGTCTTGGGAAGCATTTGTTTTCTTGTTTTGTGTGAGTCTGAGAAAAGGAGAGGAAATGCTCTATACCACAGAGTACATGTGGGGATCGGAGGACAACTCACAGGGTTCAGATCTCATCTTAGACATTTTGTGGTTTGTGAACAAGTCAAATATCAACTAGTCAAATATGAGCATGTGGGTCCCAGGGATCAAACTCAGATCATCAAGCTCCTCAGGCAAATGCCTTTATCCATTGTCTTCTCAGTGGCCCCTAAGCTTTTTAATGTTATTAGTTGAATTTGGTATCAAACAAACCTCCATTCAGTTATTTTTGTCCATTAATCTAGTTTTTTGCTCAGTATGAGGAATTTGTGATTTAATGTCTACCTTGGCATTAATATATTTTCAGAAGCATATAATTCAACAATCAAGATATTTGCATGTTGAATATTCTTTTCAAAGACTGTGTAGGCTTAGCAATTGACTTAAAGTTTCATATTAAGTTACTGATTTATGTATTTTTGGCTTGTTAGCCAGTGGAATATATGCACTATGATGGTAAATAGTTAAATTTACTATCAGTATTCAAAATGATCCTTTGATTTGTCCCTGGCAATACCACTAAATTTCCGTCCTTTGACATTAGAAAGGGGATTTGAGAATTATCTATACATGTTTACCACATTATTTTAATTATCTCATTAGGTATTTTGAAATATAATATTTGACCAGTCCAAGGCTGTCATATATTTGCATTATCACACAACATTGTTTGGGATAGCTGTTGGTTGAATGAAACAGTTATCACTACACAGTATTACATGACTACCAGAAAAAAAATGTATGGCATATAATAGAATTCATATTTAATGGTTTCATGAAGCTATGGGGTTGAGCCTACATGAGTTGTTTTACACTGGTCTAAACTGGTTATCATAAGTATCCTGGACTCCTATAGCTCTGTCTTACCTCAGCTTAGACAATTTGGCAACCCAACTAAACTACAGCTCATGGTCTGCTTCCCTCACACTAGCCTAAGCCTGTTCGCATCACTTCAGATATGAACAGGCAGATGTGAATAGGTATGAACAAATAAATAATAGTGTGGTTATCTCTTAAGCCTCCAGGTGTGTCAATATCCTGTTGACTTCAAAGAAGTCGTGTGGGCAAGCCAAAAGTTAAAACAATAGGGAATTCTTAAGTTACAGGCAAAGGACTTTGATGAAAAAGAATGCAACAAATGTGTAGCCATCAGTGTGATCATTATTCTGTACTGACAGACAGATACAATGAATTACAGAGTGACATAAATCCTGTACTGAGATGGACAGGGGTTATAGTTTCACCATTTGTTGTGTTAACCTGGGTGAATCAGGTCATTGTACGGGACTTCCAGTTTTTATACACTTCTAAAACTTCTAATCCTTTCATTCTATAAAACCAAGTTTTAATATGTTAAGTTCTATACATCATCTTATGAAGAACTTTAGAGTAAAGGTCATTGTCTTATCCTCAGTGTCAAACTGGCTAATATGACTGGCTAAAACTGACTAGCTAATTTTGACTACAAATCTGCTAATATTTTATAATCACATTCAAAGTGCTTCTATTCTTAATTTGATTATGAAACAAAAGGCTGAAGCTTGATTCCTCCCTTAGGTCTTTCTTGAATTTGGGATCATAACTGTTGTATCTTTTGAAGTATGCAATATGTCAGTATACTGTCAAATATTATGACATCTCCTATGTATGATAAGTTACAGGGGCCCATTGATGCTGGGCCTTAATAATTCATCAGTACGCTGTATTATTCTCAAATTGGCCAGAAGACTTTGACAAATTTGCAAACTGCTGGTTAAAATGTGTATAAATTTAGAGCAGATATTAAGATTTCTTCTAAATAAAGCATAGAGTCTACTGTGGAGAGATGTCTTAGTGGGTAAGAACACATGTTACTCTTCTAGAAAACCTGGATTTGATTCTCAGGAGACTCATGACATCTCACAACTGTTTGTGTCTCTAGTTCCAGGGAATCCAATGTCATTTTTTAGCCTCCTTAAGACAATATGCATGCAAGCAGTACACATAAATGCATATAGGCAAAACACTGATAGTATACATAAAATTTAAAAATAATAAGTTCAAAAAGGAATAATACAAAATTGATACATACTTATGTGATATATGACAAAGTACTGGATTGTCTGGCTATGATGGAAACAACTGGGTAGGAATGTTTTACATGTCAAATATTTTATAAACTACACAAGGAAAATGTCATACATATAAATAATTTAAAAGATAACTTCCTCTTCTAGAACAGCCTTCTATTCTACTCAGTTGGCTACCTCAAAACTTGTATATTTAGATTATTAAAATATATTGATAAACCTAGGATTTATAACTTGATTTGGCATATATATTCTCTTTCAGACATATAGAAATGACTTGCCATGTGATAAATGTTTATCCTTGTGATATCTCTAGAAGGCATTTATCTTGGACTGATAAATTTATAAGTGCTTGTCATTTCAGAATCACCATGTAGAGAGAGCCAAGAAGCTTCACCCAGATCAAGTTGGTCAGAAATCAAGAGTACCAGTTGGTTTTCAGAATGATTTGTCTGATGTGGAGAGACAGAAGAGCAAGCATGGGCCACTGCAGTAGCAAGCACCAATTGACTACAGGTCAGTTAAACCATAAAATACTATCTTAACTATCTACCTGACAAGGCTACAACATATAATTTCTTGAGCATGTGTGTAGGGTCCCTTCACTTTTTTTGTGTGAATAGGTGTTTTCCCTGCATGTATAGCTGTGTACCATATGCATGCATGTCCTGGAAGGCCAGAAGAGGATGACAAACCTCCAGAGATTGGAGTTACAGACGCAAATAATCACACTGGGGTGCTAAGAAAAGCACCTGGGTCCTTTGTGTGCACAACAGTCAAATACTCTTTAACAACTGAACTATTTTTGGAGCTATCCACCTAATTTTTTGAGCCAGAGTCTCCCACTGAATCTGAAGCTCGCTCATCAGTTCAGCTAGGCTGGCTGCCTACCCAGGGCCCCTTCTGTCTCTGCCCCCTCCAGCTCTGGAGTTACTTATCCATGTCAGTGTTCTTGTCTTTTTATGTGGTGCTAGAAATCTAAACCCAGGTCCTTCACAACAGACACTTTTCTAACTCATCCAACTCCCTAGCCCAATCATATATACATATTTTAAATTTTTACTAGATGAATGAATAAGATGTGTTCAGGTTTGGAAAGAGGATTAAGATAGCTGAGTTTTAACCAGTTCTCAGACCTTTCCTTTATCCAGTGAATCATCGTTAACACAGAAACCCACCATCAGAGTGCAGAGAATAAAAGATTGACGAGTGCTCAGCCAGCAACAGGATATCTATATCTTGTATCTCTCCAAAAGAAGCTCAGGGATCATCATAGATGGAGTGTAAGAATGGTAAAACCCAGATGTTAGAGTGAATCAGAGAGAAACAGTGTATTCAGGACATGACTGCACCACAGTGCTCATAAACTCCCAGCAGTTGTTGCCTGTATAAGACCTGAACAAGAGCAGTTTAGCCTGGAGTGGGAAGAGATTCAACAGTCCTCACTTCTTTCTGAGGAGCTTTGGACAGATAACTTCTAGATGAGGAAAAGTTAGTTTTCTTTAAGGGTATGTCTCCTGTTAGATCAACTACGCTCCAGTGCATGGCTCCATACCCAGGACTATATGCACAGTAAAAATCAGAGTCAATGGGTTACTAAGTAAATAAAATAGAACACTAGGTTGGGAAGAGTAGGGAGGTGGTGGTGATCTGGAAAGAAAGAGTTGTCATATAATCAAAATATGTATCATAAATTTCATAAATATTGGGGGGAGAGGAGGGGAAACTGTGGTCAGGATGTAATACATGAGAGATGAACTTTAAAAAAAGAAAAGAAGAAATTGTGATAATGATGCAGAGTTGTAGCTCTCCATAGTTGATGGATTCTGGCAGAGGGGTGCAGGTGGGGAAGGATGCAATTTTCATTTTGTAAAAAAACAAATCCTAGGATGTTTATTACAAAGGTAAACTCTGATCCTTGAGATGGGTTTGTATGTAGGATTTCTGGTACCCAGCATGGGCACCAGGACCTCCAAACATTTTGGATTCACAACAACAAGTTTCAGCTACAAACAGGGTCCGATCGTAATGGATGAGGATATTTTTGATCTTCTTAGAAGCTTCATCTCAAAAGCCCCGTTTACTTATTACCAAAACTATGTGGATGAAGCTTCTAAGAATGCAGTTTTCTTTGCCACAAGGAGTTTGACCATGACTAGATGGGTAGCCCAAATTGAACTTTTTTTGTTTGTATTTTATTTTTCTTTCTTTTTCTTTTTACCTCTTCTCCTTTGTTTTAAGGTGTGGGGGAGTTCTCAAAGGTAAGGGCAAACTTGGGAAGACTAGGAAGTGAGGGCACTCAGCGTTCATGATATGAAATTCCCAAGCAATCAGTAAAAATATTATTAAAAATTAATAAAAATATAAAAATATAAGCTAATTAAATGCAGACTTTATTTATGATGGTTTGGTTTGTGGAGATGGTGGTATGGCATTGTCTATCTCTACTGAACTAGAGGAAATGGCCTTGTGAAGGACTGATCACAGTCAACTAAGCTAGCCGACTACCTTCCATATAGGGAATCTGACTTGCCTTAGGAAGCGAAATGAGAATGTTTGTCTTTTTTTGACAATATTTTAGACACACCAAACCAGCTCAATTCCTATGACACTTATCTTCAAAACTTCACATTTAGTTTGCAGGGAAATTGAAATTAATTATTCTTAAGCATATGGTTTGTTCCTCCCCCCCTCCTTATTTGATTTTTGTAGTGAGTACAGTTATTCCTCCAAGGACATATAAAAGTCAAAATACTAGATCTAAAGTCTCTGAAGTGTTTCTGCTCCAAACCCTGTCTGTACAATCTGAGTTCTTTCAAGTAGTTAGCTTACTGGCTTCTGACACTTCTATAAAAATATCCCATAGAGCTTTTCTTATTACGTTTTCATTGACTCTCTCCGAGTGATAAAATGAAATTCTGTAAAGGGCTTTGAAAACCATGCATATTGCAATTCCTCCACATTTCAAATACTAATCAAGTGTGACTATAAAAGAAACAACCGGTGCAATGAAAATTGCTGCAGTGGTTTGAGACTCAGGCCATTATTAATTCATTGGAAACTATTTTTTCTGTAAGATTATGGATCCTACAAAGTACCGGATAACACAATTCCTGAGATCAAAGTTTTTGTTTCAATCACAGGGAACTTGGGTATCTAATCTTCCCAGCGTGTGCATTTCTGGGGTAGTACATCAGCTGCCCCAGCTGTGCTCGGAGAGAATACTGCAACGTATTTCATAGACATTGGAAGTACCCGTTCTTACACAGTGCCCATAAATGATGGGCAAAAGGAGGCTCAGATTAAAATAATAGGTCTAGAATAGAGAGACGTCCTAGCATCCTACAAGAGAGTAAAGTGAAATTTCTTTTTCTAGGCTAATTTCAGCAGGTATTTGCCTGAAAATACCAAGTAGCAGTGTGTATAGAGCATTTTTATTTGTTTTCCCATCTACAAGGACAATCAGGTTGGAATCTGCAGTCTGAGCTATCACTGTGTGACAGTTCCAACAGGAACTGTGCAATGGCAGTGGAATTGACTACAGTTAGACTCAGAGTAACTAACTCTGGACAGTATTGCCAGGGCCAATTCCTTTCTCTAAGGAGCTGGCAAAGCGCTTCAGTGACCTCTTAGGTGACCTTCTGTGGACCCTTAATTTACTCTAATAGCTTGGTGATTCTCATGTCATCTTTTAGTAACATCCTCCTTAACTCTGCATGTTTTGTCTAAAAAGAGTAGAATTCTCTGAAAGCACCATGCATTTGTTGTATAAGGGTAAAGTTCAGACCTCTTCAGTCTTAGTGGTGGCTGCTGGATTTAAAATCTCCACTTGCTCATAGTGTGCCATTGGCGATTTGTTAAACTCTTTGTATTCATCAAATTGGGTCCATATGTTTGCTACTCGTCCATAGGCTACTTTGAAGAGTTCATTGGATAGAGCAGGTTAATTTAACACATAACAAACTCCAATTATGTCTGTGCTGCAAGAAACTACTGACTCTGAGTTCATTTCAAAGAACACTTTATTTCCTCGACAGTACCTCTAGGAAGTCTTGATGTTGTGAGGTACTGAGGCTTAGTCTGCACTTTTTTTTTTCCTTTGAGAATTCTGTCCTCTGCGGATTTTTATAGCTATGAATAAGGGAGTTCCTGAGTCTAAGAAACATTGCTATGATGGAGTTAGCTGGATGATCTGACCCTGATGTTTTGACAAGAGGTCGGTGCTCCACTGTTTAGCCAGCTCAGGAGCTATTTTAAGTAGCTGACAGGTGTTAAGTGGAAACGTTTGCATTAAGCAGGTTTTTTTGTTTGTTTGTTTTATTTTTTGTTTTGGGTTGGTTGGTTTGTTTGCACACTCAGCTCCCTGGATTGATTTGCACACAGCAAGTTGACTGGGAAGTGCTCTCAGCGAAAATCCGAGAAGTGAAGTAACAGAAGTAGGCATAGGCAGAGGAAGAAGTCCTGATAAAATCACACAAAGACTTTGGGGTGAGCCTCAGGGAATTCTGGGAAGAACATGGCTCTTTGAAGGTGCCCTGAGTTGGAGCAGTCCTTCGCATCATGCATCAGTTGGATATAGCTATCCCTGCCAGGGGCTGTGACTACAGATCAGGAGGCTTCATTTAGCCCAGAGCAAAGCCATTCAGGATATTAGGATTACTATTACTTAGGAGGGAGAACGTGTTATTTTGTATGTTACTTATTCATTAATTGCTAGGATTGCTTCTCATGAATTCTCTAGATGCACAGGGATTATATGCTAAAACAACTCTATTTTTATTTGCTTAACTAAAATCTTGTATAAATCATCAAAGGTATAATGTGACATTTCCAAACATGCATCCATGTACTGATCAATAACTAGCTTTTCCTTTCTTATCCTTTTTGATGCTTCAAGCTCTTCACAGCATATTCTACATAAACTATTTTAACAGATTATTGTTCCATTTAATGTTTAATCTTAATGCAAAGTTAGTTAGAATACAAAATCACAAAACTGCTAGCATCCCCATAGTTCTGAGAAACAATCTCTTGCTTTGAAAGTAGTAAGATCTTAAAGTACAGTTTTGTAGCATTGCCCAGCTTCATTGGAGGATGTTTGAATTCTGTTTGAATGTTCTAGGGTCTGCCCGAGGGGCGAGCAGAGCCATGTCATCCTCTGACAGATTCTGAAATATCATTTGCCATTAGCACTTGTGTGAGCACTGACAACCTCACTCCTCTTCTCCCCCAGAGATTAATTTATTTTCTGCAGCTCTGGTTTTTTGCAGAGTGCTCCACTTGTCAGCCTTCACCAGTGGGATTTCTCATCAGCAGACTGGTAATTATAAGAATAGCACCATGTAGTCACGGAGAGCAAACAATGGTTTCCTAGGCAAGGCAACCCTTTCTTATCTTTTCACTTCATCCCTGTCTTAGTCCGTGTCTGCACAAGATACTAGCAAAATAGTGCTCAGAGTGGTGGGTTGTTATGGAAAGCGAGCAGCCTTTGCAGCCAGACAGACCCACGAGTGAACTCTACCTCAAAGAATGTCAAGGCTTTGTGATTTTTGTCTCTAAGCTTTAAATTTGCATACAAATGCCCACATCTTGAGAATGTTCTTATGTGAACATTGAAATGCATATGCAGGGAATCTATTCTGGAGAACACAATTTGCAAACAATGGCCCATGGGTGAGATCTTTCCTAATGACTGTTTCTGTATAGATCAGGAACTAACAAATGTTTGTTTTTACTTCTAAGAGCTTAAAAAAAAAAGGAAATCAAGAAAGAATTTTCTGGTGCAGGGAAAATAATATGAAATTTAAATTTCAAAATTCATTGCCTGTAAGTAAAATTGTATTAGAACATAGCAACATTTTGTGTGTGTGTGTGTGTGTGTGTGTGTGTGTGTGTGTGTCTTGTTGTTTAGGTGCTATATGGGCAAAGCTGAGTATCTGTGGCAGATATTTACTATCTGGCACTTTAAAGAAAAGGTTCACTGGTACGTGTTATAGAAAAGAACTTCTTGGTTATACCAATAATTCACTTAAAGATGCTTTTCTTGTGATTCTGATTCAGGAGATGTCAAGGAAGCAGTGATACAGAAGAAAGAAGGGAGAACAACCTTTCCTTAGTCTCATGTACTCATTGTACCTACTGCATCAGAAAATTCTTTTGGTTCTATCTCTACGGTCCAGAACATGCCTATTTCTCTTCCATACCCATTGCTACCATCTTAGTGCAAATATTTGCTACTATCAACCACTGTTTTAGGACTTCTTTCCTCCTGTAATAGACTCTGACTCAATTGTCCAGGATGCTGATCGGTGTGGTAGGATATACCTGCAATTTCTGCAAGTCCAGCGCTCAAGACAGGGATATACTACCACACTAATCACCAGGATTCTTGAACATGTTAATTCGTCTTCTTCTACCATTGTTCCATGATGTCTATTCTGAATAAAACAGGCAATTGTAAGGTGCCTAAACTCCATGCCAATCAAGGCAACTCTGACCTGAAAGCATCACAAGGACATTGCTATCCCCCACGTCTGTATAAGATCCATTGAATTTCTATTTGTCACACCCTTAAGAGAAATTCCAGTCATATTCTTTGTCCTGAAATTACCGTGGCCCTTCCTGCAGACCAGCCTTTAGTTATTTTGCTGGTCTCTTCCACAACAACCTTACCAAAAATAACAACCTCTTACCTGATACTGTCTCTTGCTTTCAGACTACCCAAGAATATGTTTTCTTTATAAATTTTGGTTATTAGCCACCTGCAGCACAGATGGACACCATGATTATAGGGAATTTTTAAAATTCAACTTTGCTCTAATTTTAGACGCTAAGAGATTCCTTGGCATGTGTTAAATTCTCAATGAATATTTTCTTAGTAAAGAAATAACCTCCAGATTGCTATTCTGTACTTTATAGACAATCTGTGGCGCCTCTCATTTTTTGTCTCTAGGTAAAAATATTCTCCAAGAACACGAACATAAGCCTTAGCACTGAAAAATAATTGACTATCAATTAATCACCACAAATGAGAGAGATGCAGCAGCTGTTCACGTGTGTCATTCGTTCTTGACACACAGTTTAATCTCAAAATGTGTCAAGGAAAGAAAGCAAAGGATTGGCACACAGTTGAAAGCATGGATGAAAATCCAGTTGAAAATGTTCAGGAGGGATTCCATGGAAGGCTCAGAAGAGACTGGCCATGCAGAGACGCCTCGATAAGGGTTTCACTCTTCTGTCTCAGACTTAGCAGCATTAGCAGTTTGTCTCTCAGTTTTCAGGGAAAGTGAATTGTATTCAGGCTTGATTTAAATTAATGATTTAGGTAATAATTGCTTTATAAGAAAATGTAAATATTTTGATTTCTACAAAATATGAGAAAATGGAGATTTTCATTTTGATTATATGATACACACACACACACACACACACATATATAATACACTAAGAACTACTATAATTTTTAGCTGGAATGGTTAATTTTGAAGATGTATATTTCTTCTACTGAAGATCACTTGTTTCATTCATACCTTTTAGAAAGGAAAATAAAACTCTATTTTGTGTCTGTTCAAATGAGGAATGGTTTGTTTTAATTGCTGAGGAACTTCTTCTGTATGAATCAAAATTTCTCTGTTAATTTCAGCTAAATTATTGGTCAAGCAGATCTTCAGTTCAATGTAAAACAGAAAAAAATCACCCTGTATTATACTTGTGATATTTCCAAAGGAATGTGTGGTAAATGCCCCAAAGTAAGTAAAGGTTTTTCATATCAATTTGCATTGTAAATTCTAAGTAATTTTCAGGAAAAAAATGGTTCCCGTATACTTTAAGATTTCTTGCAAGTGAGAGTGTGCTAGGAACAGACTTTTGTTAATGTTAACTCAGCTCTGTCTGCTAGACTGAGTGTGGGTGCCGAGGGGCTAGACTGAAGGAGAATAGGCTGTCTGAAGTGACCTAGAAAGTCCCTTCTAAAATTAACCTGGCTTCCAGCCATTATTTCAGTTTGAGATAATATAATTATTCTAATATCCTCACCTCCCACTTCTCTGCTTTACAATGGACTATCTTAAATCAGTTTATTGACAGGGGAGAGTGAGACTAATAACTGTCAAGATGACAGACTGAACATTCCTACCACAGGCTTGTAATCCTTTTATGTGACGATAGGAAGGTAATATCAAGTAATATTTCTCCTGCACTTTATGTTTAACAAAGCACGTGAGATACATTATTTCATTTGATATTTCCTTAACTTGGTGCCTCAGTTATTATCATCAAAACTTATTCACTGATAAGGAAATGGATTACAATGTTTAGTCAAGACATGCAGCCAGTGAGTCATATACTTAGGGCTCAAGGCTAGGTCTTCAGTTTCTATTCTTTCTATAGTATAATCATTTAATTTTCCATTTCCCCCCTCCCAACTAAGAAAATAAACAATATAAGAGATAAATAATTCTTTTTTGCAAATAATATCTCAAAGAAGAAAGTGATAGGAATGGGAATTAATCTGGGCATACCACCTAAAATCTTTATTTTAATATTCTACAATAGCTGATTACATGAGAAAGACCGAAATATCTAAAGACCACTATTGGACACTGTAGTTAATAAGAGACAGAGAATAAATGAAATCCAAGAGAATGTGTGACCCTGGCACACTATGGATCAAGACACCACTATTCAATCCCTAGCCCAAGTCATCACTGAAATAGGGAAGCTAACATGATGTGTAGAGAAATTGTAGAACTTTCTAGTTTGCGATCCTCGACTTTCTTTCAATGGAACTGTGAAGTCTGTAGATATCAGAAAACTGTAGGTTTTGTTTTTATATGTCACTCACATTATAAAAATTGGAAAGAATTGACACAGTAGTTTAGATTCTTGATTTTAACCTTGTTTAGTTTTTGTGAGAATCCTGTATAATTGGTATTATTGTACCTTGTTCTTTCTTATCTTTAAAGATGAGGAAATAATCCCATAAGACCGGGTAATGATAGAAAAGGATTTTAAGGTTGGGAAGAAGGAGAGAAAAGAAAGGGGGAAGTATGAGGGGAAGAGGGAGGGAAAGAGGGAGGAAGTGAAAGGGGGAGGAAGGGAGAGAGAGAGAAAGAGAGAGAGAGAGAGACTTAATTAAAGTTGCATTGCTGTGAAGAGACACTATAAGCAAGGTAACGTCTATAAAGAACTAAGAGCTGGCTTACAGTTTCAGAAGTTCAGTCCATTATCATCATGGCAGGAGTATGAGCAGAGCCCAGGCAGGCATGGTGCTAAAGGAGCTGAGAATTCTACCTCTTGATCTGCAGGCAGCAGAAGAGGATTGTAACACTGGGTTTAGCTTGAACTTACATGAGACCTCAAATCCCTGCCTCTACAGTGACCCACTTTCTCTAACAAGGCCACACCTCTTCCATTAAGGCCATACATCCTAATTTTGTCACTTCCAGTGGTCCAAGCACATTCAAACTACCACAGAGAGGAAGAAGTAGAGAAAGGAAAAATGGAAGGACAGAAATAGGAAGGAGGAAGTGAGGAGGAAGTTTGTGGTTGTTGTTTTCTTTGTTTTGGTTTTTGCTACCCATTCTATTTTTCACACTTTATAAGGTCATAGTGGGAAGAGGATGACTTGCCAGAGGACAGACACAGACAGCTCTCTCGCGCTCTCTCTCTCTCTCTCCTCTCTCCCCTTCCCTCCTTACCTCCCTCCCCCTATTTTTCTCTTCTCTTCTCTCTCCCTCCCTCGCTCGCTCCCTTCTCCCTCTTTTTCTCTCCTCTCCTCCTCTCTCTTGTTCTCTCTCTTGTTCTCTCTCTTGTTCTCTCTCTCTTGTTTTCTCTCTCTCTCTCTCTTGTTCTCTCTCTCTCTCTCTCTCTCTCTCTCTCTCTTTGCTTTTTTTGGAGCTTTGTAGGGTTTTGTGCCAACATATGTTTGTTTATATGTTAACAGAATCATTCTGTAGTGTGACTGTTGCTTGAAAACTAGCATTTGGTTCAGTTTAATGTGTACAGGTGCCCCATTACTACTCTGTAGTTCTTAGAACTGGGTTTGTGTCTGCCTACAGGTAGACTAGGACTACAATCCTTCTCTAGCTGTGTCTAGTTGAATGAGCCACACCTTTACTATGGCTTCAGTTTTTCCACCTTTTCTTCTCCTAAAATTGATGTGTTATGATGCTGAACGGAAATGAATACAAAATCATGGTATCAACTGCAAGCACATTATGAATCTAAAGTATTATTTTTCTGTCTCATAAATATGTACATTGTGCCTGAATAATTTACAGGTTTTCCTTTTTGGTTCATCTTACTTTGCTCCCATTGTTTCTCAAAAGAATATGTGTGTTTATAAAAATATAAACAATATTTGCAAGCAGCCAATACAACATCCTGATGAGTTCCTCTTACTTTTTTCACTTATAGAACTCTTCAAAACTGACAAGCATCAAAAATAACAAGATGTGATGGAAGCCACTTGGTTAGTGAACATAAATGTTGCAATGAAGAAGGAAGTCTAGCCTTCTAGCTGAAAAACAACGATTCCCCAATGGACTCTGGAAGAATCTGGACTGGCCACTGCAAAGACAAAAACAAGCTTAAATGTTTTAGGACATAAATCTCAAAGAGAGACCCATGATATGGAATTTAAATTGTCTAATCAGTTTCCTAAAACCCACAGATCTTGTTTTCTTGTTGTTTAAGACACATTTATTTAATATACATCTTTTTATGTCGCTTATTTTATCTATCAACAACTGGCAATTAGAAATAATTTTGTTCTTCAATTATTGAGTAAGATTCTATTTTTAAAAGTCTAAACTCTCATTGAATTTTCATCCCTTTTTTTTTCTAGCAGTTTTTTTCCCATTTTTTCCAGTTTCATCATCATTTCTGCTACGACTCAATAAGGAAAACTAATTATGTCTGACAGTCACCTAAAATGGCCAAATTTCTTTTCTGATTCCTTGAGAACTGTGAAAATGAGTTTGACTTCACATTTTCAATTTGTTTTATAAATACACTGTAAATAAATGTCAACTCTCAACAGCTAGCATCATTATGAGTCACAGAACTTTCTGTAACCTCCTCTCTCTATTTCTAAAAGGGAGAGTTGCTGACCAAAGAAACACCTCGGCTCTGAAAAATTGCCTTGTATTTTACATACTATATTCTTGATCATGCTTCTAATGAATGCTTATTAGAATTGTAGCAAACCATTTAGTTAACCATAATATTTGATGGGAAGAAAAAGGCAATATAACTGTAATGAGCCTTATAAATATAGTTGACAGAAGCCAAAGAGATTATTAATGAATTCACAATAAAATAGTACTTATAGTTATATGCCTGTAAAAATTAAAGGCAAACACATTTTATAAGTTTTCTTATTATGTGTTAAATATACAGGAATAATATTACTTTGACTTTCTTAACATGAAGAGATTGAGAATTTTTCTAGTTAGGTTACATAGAGAATAGTGGGAAGCTTTAGGTTTTGTTCGTAAGTCAGACTTTTTACAAAACTTTAATCTTATAATTAATTTATGAGTTGGGAGAATTTATTTGATGATTTAGTACTGAAGATTCTCTAAAGATAGTACATGATGAGGTAATATTCATTATATAATCACAGCTGAAGATCTTTTATAAAATGTTTATATTCTGATTTCTTACCTTCTATTATCTTTTTTCTCTTTAAGTAATAGCTAATCTTGATTTCAATGCTTTAAAATTGCTTAATGACTTAATTGTTATCATATTATGTATCAATAATAAAATTTTAGGAGATTGTTTTTTATCTGGTTTTTTTTGTCAGTTTAGTTTACACACATTTGAGCAGTAAATTAGAATGTCCCTTTATTTGAGTTTTTAGACATCATAGAGAATCATGACCCAACCACATAGCCTAAGAAAGCTATACTATGGATAATCTGGGACCAATACAATTTCTCATTTTTCAGCCTACAGTGAGCACTGAGTATTTTTAGTTTGGTATATGAGAACAGTTGAATTTAAACTTTTTGTAAGCCCATGTCTTTGACTAGAAAATGAGAAAATGAATTCTCTTCCTTTAGCTGTGAATCATCAAAGACTTTCTACTATAAATCATGTCTTACATTTCTATCTTAATGAAATTCCTCTTGCATAATCTGCTTCTAGTTGTCTTGGTATCAAAAATACAATAAACTTTATGACCTATCCAAGGTCTTGAGATGTTGGAACAAAATTTCCACTGTTCATATGTATGTGTCTCTGGCCATGGTTGTGAAATAAGGTACTTCCTATAACAATTTAGCAAGAATATTCTTTAACTAGAACTGAAACAAGTTTTCACCATTGAGAAAGCTGATTGTTTTTTTGTTTTTTGTTTTTTTAAAGCCAGGGAGAAAAATAGTGTCCCCTACATTCCTATGCACTGAGGGTTTACAATCTTGGGCCAAGTCAGAGCAACAGAATTTCTTGGAATAATCATAAATATAAATAGGTTTCAATATGACCAGTTACTAATTCTACTAATTAAAAAGCTGCCTTCCATAATATTGACTCATTGAAGCAGTTTGAGGATGGTATCTTAGTTAGGGTTATTACTATTGTGATTAAATACCATGACAAAACACAACTTGGTGGAGGAAAAAGCTTCTTATTCCACTCACAATTCCATATAACCCTTCACCATCAAAAGCAGTGAAGACAGAAACCTGGAGGTGGGAGCTAGTGCAGAAGCCATGGAGGCTTGCTGCTTACTTTCTCCTCATGGTTTCCTCAGTCTGCTTTTTATTTTTTTTATTATTTTTTTTCAGTTTTTTTCAATTGGATATTTTACTTACATTTCAGATGTTATCCCCTTTCCCCATACCCCTCTCCTTCCAGGAATCCACTATCCCATCTTCCCTCCCCTTGCTTCTAGGATGATGTGCCCTCAAATTCCCCCACACTGGGGTATCTAGCTTTCATAGGACCAAGGACCTCCTCTCCTACCTGTGCCCGACAAGGCCATCCTCCCTTACATATACAGCTGGAGCCATGGGTCCCTCCCTATGTGCTTCTAGATTTAGACCCTGTCAGCTCTGGTTGGTTAGTATTGTTGCTTTCCGCATGGGGCTGAAAACCTTTCAGCTCCTTCAGTCTTCTCTCTAACTCCACCATTGGGAACCCCATGATCAGATCAATAGTTAGCTGTGAGCATCTGCCTCTGTATATCTCAGGTTCTGGCAGACCTCTAAGGAGACAGCTATATCAGGCTCCTGTCAGCATGTACTTCCTGACATCCACATCACTGTCTACCTTTGGTGACTGCACATAGGATGGATACCCAGGTAGAATAGTCTGCAGACAACCCTCCTTCAGTTTCTGTCCCATATGCTGTCTCCATATTTGCTCCCACGAGTATTTTGTTACTCCTTCTGAGAAGGACTGATGCACCCACACTTTGGTCTTCCTTTTTCATGAGCTTCATGTGGTCTATGAATTGTATCTTGAGTATTGTATTATCAGTGAGTGCATACCCTGTGCTTTCTTTTGTGATTGGGTTACCTCTCTCATGGTGATATTTTCTAGTTCCATTCATTTGCCTAAGAATTTCATGAATTCATTGTTTTTAATAGTTGAGTAATGCTCCATTGTGTAAATGTACCACATTTTCTGTATCAATTCCTCTGTTGAAGGACATCTGGGTTCTTTCAAGCTTCTAAATAAGGCTGCTATGAACATAGTGGAGCATATGTCCTTGTTATATGTTGGAGCATCTTCTGGGTAAATGCTCAGGAGTGGTATAGCTGAGTCCTCAGGTATTGCTATATCCAATTTTCTGAGGAACCACCAGACTGATTTCCAGAGTGGTTGTGCCAGCTTGCAATCCCACCGACAATGGAAGAGTGTTCCTCTTTCTCCACATCCTCACTAGCATCTGCTATCACTTGAGTTTTTGATCTTAGCCATTCTGACTGGTGTGAGGTGGAATCTTAGGGTTGTTTTGATTTGTATTTCCCTGATGACTAAGGATCTTGAACATTTCTTTAGGTGCTTCTCAGCCATTCGAATTTCCTCAGTTGCAGATTCTTTGTTTAGCTCGGTACCCCATTTTCAAATAGAATTGTTTGGTTGAAATAATCCCTTGCATACTATCAGATCACTACTAACTAAGGCTGCTCTTCAATAACAAAAACAATGTAAAGCCCACATACACATGGAAACTGAAAAATGATCTACTCAATGATCACTTGGTCAGGGAATAAATAAAGAAAGAAATTAAAAACTTTTTAGAATTTAATAAAAATGAAGACACATCATACCAAAACTTATGGGACACAATGAAAGCAGTGCTAAGAGGAAAACTCATAGCTCTAAGTGCCTTCAAAAAGAAACTGGAGAGAGCATACACTAGCAACTTGACAGCACACCTGAAAGCTCTAGAACAAAAAGAAGCAAATGCACCAAAGAGGAGTAGACAGCAAGAAATAATCAAACTCAGGACTGAAATCAACCAAGTAGAAACAAAAAGTACTATACAAAGTATCAACAAAACCAGAAGCTGGTTCTTTGAAAAACTCAGCAAGACAGATAAATCCTTAGCCAGACTAACCAGAGGGTACAGAGACAGTATACAAATTAATAAAATCAGAACTGAAACAGATGACATAACAACAGAAACTGAGAAAATTAAAAATCTCATCAAATCCTACTGCAAAAATCTATACTCAACAAAACTGGAAAACCTGGAGGAAATGGACAATTCTCTAGACAGATACCAGGTACCAAAGTTAAATCAGGAGAAGATAAACCATCTAAACAGTCCCATAACACCTAACGAAATAGCAGCAGTCATTAAAAGTCTCCCCACCCCACCCCACCCCCCACAAAAGTGCAGAACCAGATGGTTTTAGTGAGGAATTCTATCAGACCTTCAAGGAAGACCTAATACCAAGTCTCTTCAAATTATTCCACAAAACAGAAACAGAAATAACACTACCCAATTTGTTCTATGAAGCCACAATTATGCTCATACCTAAACCTCAAAAAGACACAACAAAGAAAGAAAAATTCAGACTAATCTCCCTTCTGAATATACATGCAAAAATACTCAATAAAATTCTTGCAAAATGAATCCAAGAACACATCAAAACAATCATCCATCCATCATGATCAAGGCTTTATTCCAGGAATGCAGGGATGGTTCAATATTCAGAAATACATCATATCCACTATATAAACAAACTCAAAGAAAAAAAACCACATGATCACCTCACTAGATACTGAGAATGCATTTGACAAAATTCAACATCCCTTCATGGTAAAAGTCTTGAAAAGATCAGGAATTCAAGGCCCATACCTAAACATAGTAAAAGCAATATATAGCAAGCCAGTAGCCAACATCAAATTAAATGGAGAGAAATGTGAAGCAATCCCACTAAAATCAAGGGCTACACAAGCCTGCCCACTCTCTCCCTACCTATTCAATATAGTACTAGAAGTCCTAGCCAGAGCAATTATACAACAAAAGGAAGTCAAAGGGATACAAATAGGAAAGGAAGAAGTCAAAATATCACTATTTGCAGATGACATGATAGTATACTTAAGTGACCCCAAAAATTCCATGAGAACTTCTAAACCTGATAAACAACTTCAGCAAAGTAGCTGGATATAAAATCAACTCAAACTAATCAGTAGCCTTCCTCTACTCAAAGGATAAACGGGCTGAGAAAGAAACTAGGGAAATGACACCCTTCACGATAGTCACAAATAATATAAAATACCTTGATGTGAATCAACCCAAGCAAGTGAAAGATCTGTATGACAAGAACTTCAAGTCCCTGAAGAAAGAAATCGAAGAAGATCTCTGAAGATGGAAAGATCACTCATGCTCATGGATTGGCAGGATTAATATAGTAAAAATGGCAGTCTTGCCAAAAGCAATTTACAGATTCAATGCAATCCCCATTAAAATACCAACTCAATTGTTCATGAAGTAGAAAGAACAATTCTCAAATTCTTTGCAATAACAAAAAAAATCAGTATTGTGAAAACTATTCTCAACAATAAAAGAACTTCTGGGGGAATCACCATCCTTGACCTCAAGCTGTACTACAGAGCAATAATCATTAAAACTGCATGGTATTGGTACAGAGACAGGCAGGAAGATCAATGGAATAGAATTGAAGACCCCAAAATGAACTCACACACCTATGGTCACTTGATTTTTGACAATGGAGCTAAAACTGTCCAGTGGAAAAAGGACAGCATTTTCAACAAATGGTGCTGTTTCAACTGGAGGTCAGCATGTAGAAGAATGCAAATCGAAACATTCTTATCTCCTTGTATAAAGCTCAAGTCCAAGTGGATAAAGGACCTTCTCATAAAACCAGATACACTGAAACTAATAGACTAGAAGGTGGGAAAGAACCTCAAATACCCTGCACAGAAGAAATTTTCCTGAACAGAACTTATGCTCTGAGATAAAGAGTTGCTAAATGGGATGACATAAAATTGCAAAGCTTCTGTAAGGAAAAGGACAATTTCAATAGAACAAAATGGCAACCAACAGGTTGGGAAAAGATCTTTACCAATACTACATCCAATAGAGGGTTAATATCCAATATATACAAAGAACTCAAGAAATTAGACTCCAGACAACCAGCCTACTTTTTAAAATTATCTAGGACCACCAGCCCAAGGATGGCCCCACCCACAATGAGCTGGGACCTTCCTCATGAAGAGGCCAGAGTAGCAGGATAGACTTCATTTTGCTCTTCAAACTCCATTTTAAGTTGCTTGTCCTCAGAGTGCCATGGTCACC